CAGCGGGACGTGTGGGACCCTATCAAATGCTTTTTGGAAGTCGAAAAATATGGCATCCGATATGAGTCCTTCGTCCTTGGCTTGGGTTAAGCTGTCCATAAACACGAGCATGATAGTCATGCAAGAACGGTTTGGGAGAAATCCGTGTTGGGCTGGAGATATCAGATTGCTGGAAGTAAGGTGATCTAGGATAGCTCGCTTCAGAATGCGTTCCATCACCTTGCACGGCACGCTAGTGAGGCTTATAGGCCTATAGCTGCCAAGCGATAGTCGGTCACCAGTCTTGTAGATTGGCGTGACAATCGCTTAATTCCAAGCAGAGGGAAGGTGGCCTTCGTCAAGCGACTGATAAAACACCAAGTGTAAGTGATTCGCCAGTGGGGACGACGTTTCCTTCAGGGTCTTTGGATAAACCTCGTCAGGTCCCAACGCGCATGATAGGTTGATCTTGTGCGAGAGTTGGCGAATATCCTCTACCCTGAAGACCAAGTCGGTCAGAGGCTGTTCTTAGTTGCACCTTGATAAGAATAGATGTGACGAGGACCTGGATAGAGTTCCCCGTAAACCTTAGGTATCACAGTTGTGTTACTCGTGGGTTCTCCTTTCCTGTCCCTTAAAGAGAACGCGGATGGCCTGTTTCTACAGTGGTCCCATATAGTTGATCAGCACATTTATGTTTTTTTCGGACTAGGTTTCCAATGGTGGCTTGTTCTCGTAAGTTCCATTGGCGGTTCCGCAATTTACAAAATGCCAGCTAAAATCCTGTGTCAACTGTAGTCAAGGTTTTGAAAAAAGTTGAGACTTTTTTCCAGAAGACGCATAATTCTTTTTCGTAGCCTGCGGCTTATAGGAATGAGTGCTGTTCTTTGGGATGAACGTTGCGTCAGCCCTGTTAACCTTATACAGGATGGTCCTGTATATCTCTTCCACCGAAGCCGGTCCCAATGTAAATACACATTTCTGGGTTGTTTGCACGGCAGAAGCTTAGAATCCACGTTTGAGGTTTGGGATTTCTGGCACAATAGCGGGTGAAATCAAAGGTCAACACACAGTGGTCACTATGTTTCAGCCGACCGTTAATTGGTCAACGGAAAATCTTTCGTTGGTAATGACCAAATCCAGCAGGAATGAAAGTTGGCCTGCGCGGACTCAACGATAAGTTTAGTCCAAGCTCTCTGTTGGACGCGCCGCTGCAAAAGGTACACTTCATCCGACGCGCTGGAGCCCTATCACGGAGGTCTTTGGAGCACTAAAGTCACCTACCAGCAGGAAATGAGTGAAGTGGTAGTTGGAAAAGCGTTACTCAAGGGTTCGTATGAGGGATTTGTCATTATCAGGGAGACTCGAGGCGCTACGGTAGACCACACCGAGAAGGAGAGAATCGGACCCGCGTAGCGAGATTTGGATCCACAGTGCATTGCAGAAAAGTGCAGGAGTGGTGTCAGAGAGGACAATTGAAATTGACGGAGCCGCATGTATGCATAAAGCAGCCACAACAGCCCTATTACGTTTTGAGTCACCTCGAAAAACAGAGTAGCCGTCAATCAAAACACCCTCGTCAGAGACATCTCGTCTAAGCCAGAGTGCGATTATGTACGGCTGTTCAAAGCAAGATGACTCTTTGATATCGCACAATTTTTTGCAAAGGCTGAGGCGGTTTGTTAACAGGCATCTCAACGCTGTCTCTGCTACATCATGAGTTGAGGGCCGAAGGTTGTGTGACCAGAACGGTTAGTAGACTTAAGAGTTGTACGTCGGGTTAGAGTTCAAGGATCCAAGGGGGCCTTTGAGGCGTACCCGTTCATTTTTTATCTTGGTGATTTTGAGGGATGCTTGCAGGGTTTTTTCGCCCCGTGAAAGCCCGAGTTGCTCGGGCCTTTTACCTTTGCGGGACGGAGTTTTTCCCCGTGGACGAAAATTTCCATAATTGCCGCTTGAAGCTCCTTCAGCACCCTCTCGTTGACCACCAGATTTGCTTTGATCAAAGATTTGGGGAAAACTTTCGTTCGTTTGGTTTCTGGGGCGTTTTGGCGCAGATCGATCGGAAATTTGTCTCTGTGAGACTCCGAGCGGTGGCTGACGGCACCAAGAAGTAATTTATCTGGTGATTCGCCCGTTTTCGCAGAGGACTGCACCTTGAAGCCAGCCGGCAGTTTTCCGATTTGGCGAAGCTTATGTGGCTTGTCTAGTTGCAGTCGCCTTTCTTTCTTGCTTGAGAGGACACCCGATCCGCCAACGATCAGCATGGTCTACTGGGTCTACTAGAAATTTCTAGGTTCGCTGTGGCCCGGTTTGTGGGGTTGACCGTCGGAGCCCTGGGCGACGACTTTGTCCACAAACAAAAAGGCCATTTTTGACGGATTGGAGCTGGAGATTGGTAGTTTCTCATTCTCAGTGGTCGTTTGGTTGTCTCAGCTGTCCCCGATGCCGAGGTCAACGCGTACGGTTGATTTGTCCATGGGCTTCGCTTCTTGTCCCCACACATCTGACTCAATCCAGCCCAGAAGCTGTGACTGATGACGAATTTATTAGTGCGCAGGTGATGGTAGTCGTAATATACTTCAGAAGGTATATGCACTAATAACTGTTTTTATTATGGTTGACTGGTATAACGTGGTGGGTTGCATCGCGCACAAAAATAAATGCAATGCAAGATAAGGAGCAACTCAGACGGGGAACTTACCGCTTGTGAAAGTCCCTCGGTGAAAATCCAGACGGCGGGAACGTGTTTTCTCCGCAGGTACAGCTGCTACACGTGTTCCTCACTTGTTTATGGACTTGTGGAGTTTAGGTCGCTACTTGCTCCTTGTGCGTGCGCAAATTGTGTCTACTGTGTTGCGTCGATTGGCCGAGGTCTCTCCTTATATAAATTTAGTGGGCCGTGAAAAAATGTGAAATGACATTGATACCTTAGCGGGTTCACGGAACCGGTTGTCGGCCAAAGGTCGTCTTTGTTGGCCCGATGTTAATGCGTCTTTGCGACGCGGACAAAACAAAATGTGGCTAGTAGGCGCTGGCGTAAAATTGCTTGGGGGAGCAATTAAACGGAAGGCTAGCCGTTACGTCTGTCACGGAAAGAAGCGCTGATGGCTCTACGTATTTGAGCGCTGCTTCCACGTGTGGCTTGCCCCCTCCCAGAGCATCACTTACTTTGGTGGTCGAGGGGTCTGTTGTGACTAAATAGAAACTGTTGTCAGGAGACACGGTCGGTTTCGTTGGCGTGCTTCGGGAGCACAATGAGCTATGACTACAATCGGGTTGGCCTTGAGTTTGGGTTTGGCTGAACTGGCGCCAAGCGGGGCCTTGTTTTGTGCATCTACCCAAGAACTGCCGTGGTCCAGCTTTCGCACCTCTAGAAATCGAACCTCAGCTACACGCCTAATCGTTAGGTCTGCTTTCTGAATGCTGAAAGCCCGCTCCAAGATCCTTTGTACAACAGATGGAAAGACAAGACTAGATAAAAAGATGGTTAGAAGCCCAATTGTTCGCTTGCTTTACTTTTGGCGTGGCCATTCTGTGTGAAGCGATTGGTGAGCCGGCTTGGTGATGGCACCACCACGGAGCAACTGTGCCAGCTTCGTTGGCGTTATTCTTCTTGAGAATGACCTCTAGATGGTTATTCTGCTCTTCCCCACTGCTCTGTCCGCTAGAGATTTCGTGGCTATCTATATTACCGCGCCAGAGCGCAGGATGGCTTTCCTCGCGGCCAGAGGACCCGGGATTGATAGGCGAGCTACCCGTTCAGCAGAGAAAGTTCTTTGTCAACTTTCTTTCGGGTCGCTGTGTTCTTTGTGTTCGCATCCTCCACTGCTTTAGAAAAAAGCTGCAGCTTTGCGTCCAGTATCTTGATCAAAGCGGGACATTCACACCAGTCTTTCCTACTCAGCGATGGGGACTGGGCTCCGTTTTGGTGGTTCTCTTCTTAGCTGCGGTATACAATGCACCTTTTATGTAAAGACAGTTGGCTCAAACAAACCGGTCAGGAGAGTTACCTAACCGGCTTAACTTGTCGTCCATAAACACATGCATTTAAGAGGCCATCAGGCCTTGCAGGTGTGACATTGCATACTGCGTTTTACGTTCGATGGCAGCCATTTTGCCCACATCCGTTGTGGTCCATCAATTGCTGCAGAGAACAGTCTGTACTCATTAATGTCATGATTGAGACTGGGCGAAAAATAGGAACTGAGTCCAAGGTAACAAGGGTTATCACGTAAATGTTATGTCTGATTGAGGAAATTCGACAAACGACTCGCGTGTACTCTGTGAATGGACTGAACGGTGAAAGAATTCTTTCACAAATCTGCATGAGAGGAAAACGGAAGCGATATTGAACGTACCCCCTAGTTGATTAAGATTAAAGTAAACGATTGCTACAGCGACGAGTCCTTGGATGGTTAAGTTTGTGGCTATGTTTACGAAAAGCCCGTGTTTGGTGAAATAATTTTATACCAAACATCAATATACGGCATCAGAATTATCAGAATCACGTTGCACAGTGGAGCCGTATGAGCTCCTTTGGTCTCTGTTGAGGCATAAAGGATTTAGATGTTCCCTGCATGAGTGAGTTAGTGCCATTGCACAGAAAAGATCGCGAACTGATCAGAAAATGATTGGGGGCAGAAGGGCACGAATTAAAAACCCACCGAAACGGCTGTATCCGGACGAATGTCTCAGCTGATTGGAACAAACTCCCCCAAGAGGCGGCTTGGGCCGGATAAAGGATGTTTTCATGGTTGCAGGACAATTAGTGAGTAGGAAGACGACACAGTTAGGGATGAGAATGAAGTAGTTGCGCGTGAACCATCAAATCGCATAGTGCAGTGCCATGGCAGCAGTGAATTTATATACTTCTGTTTCCCGATAGCCCCTTAACGGGCGCCATACATGAGATGACAGGATTTGGGGTGTGTGGTTCTGTCGGAGGTGGGGCTTTTTGTTTTTGCTTGTGAGATCCGTAGAGGTGGAACAAAGGCGACCCAGGTACAGAATATTTCGAGCTATCTGTTGGACCACGTCGAGTTACGCGCAAAACCCGAAAAGCCAAATTGTTCAAGTGGAGCTTCGTCTACAAATGCGGTACTATAAACACAATAATGAAATAGTAAACCAATAATGAAAAGAAAACCCATAAAAGCCTCAAATAGCTTGACTACGCCGGCCTATACACGCCGGTTTAGGAATTGCTAACTTTTAACTGATTCCAAAGTCTACACCAACTCAAAGCCACGTGTTGACTCAACACCCTTATTCACTAATCTTACTGTGGATTGTGACAACGTCAAAAAACGGCAGGTGTTCACGTAAAAAGTAAGAAAGGTGGTATAGGTATAAAACCAAAATAACAAATAGGAAAAATCGCCTTCTACAACAAAAAATGGGGGAAATCAACAAAAGAATAATTGGTAGTTGTGATTCGATTGAAGATCCCCTCAGGTTTAAAACACAAGCCATATGAAATGGATGCCGTCCACACAGGGCTTTCGAAGCCTGGGAAGAGAAGGATGTGGGAGATCAATAGGGCCTGCTTGATTTGAGGAAGCATCAGATGGATGGAGTGTATTACCGGGAAAACAGTAACTTGAATTTTATCTTAAGTTGCTAACGTCAAGTGGCTAAATTGGATAGGATAGGATAGGATGGGATAGAGGTGGGTTCGTGCTTGGTGGCCCAGTACTAAGCGAGCGGTCAGGAACTGCCTCAATAGCCCAACAACCAACGACTGGCTACGCGTGCCAATATAGTGTCACTGTAGTGCGACAGACGGCGAACGAACCAGTTTACGCAGACAGAAGGTCGGTGTGACAAGGGGCGGTAAACACACAAGGATTAACGAGAATAGAACCCCCAATAGGTTGGACTGGGTGATCCACAGGTTGTTACGGGGTTTGGACCGAACCACAATTTGGGATGGAAGATGGACGTAATACAAAGGGCCACCAGTTCCCGGAGCAAGACTGCCACCTTCAAGCAACAAATGATGCATGGCCAAAGGCCAATAGAAACCGCTTTGAATATTATCACTACCGGCATAGGAGTTTCATCACTTTATACATTCATTTATTGTGTCCGCTTTTGGGAGAAGTAGAGAGAAGCGTGTGTTTATTTGGCAGAGTTATCTATCGCTTTGCAAGCCAGTGTAAGCCATGGGCGCCGCATAGTGTCTTCAGGCTATCCCGTATATCTTTTGAGATTTTTTATGGCAGTTTTCCATCATCTGTAGTTGAAAGCTTTGCCAAATAAGTGATAACCTGGAAGAGTCCAACACAGCAGCTACAAACAGACAAAATCTGTGCTCCTTTACTGATTCCCGGAATTGAAGGCTGGGTTCACAGCCACTAATGATGTACCCGTACCTCTGGAGGGGTGGCGGGTGCACGAACGTACCATGTTGGACAAAGCGACCTACCCTGAATAGCTTACTTAAACACCAGGAAGGATTTTCACACCCCGTGCATACAACCAGATCTGTAAGGTAGAAAGCAACTCAACAAATAAGTGCTGCTAATGCATTAATGAGGAACACCGGCTACCAGATATTTTCCGTCGAGGGAAAGCGGGCCAGCTCAACCAATTCAATAAAGCAGGCAGCCGCTGGAAAATGCTAATCAGGGATATTTCCTCGTTTCCCGTTTGTGCCTTAGCCTTTACACCTAATTACTTGCCCAACTTAGTAAAGAGTCTGTTTCCATGATTGTGCGTAGCTCCACTCATAGCCTACATAACTTCGACATAATTTTCTCAAATTAGGGTCATCTGGCTACGGCCGCAGTTGGTGGGAAAATGCTAGGGATATTTCCTCGTTTCCCGTTTGTGCCTTAGCCTTTACACCTAATTACTTGCCCAACTTAGTAAAGAGTCTGTTTCCATGATTGTGCGTAGCTCCACTCATAGCCTACATAACTTCGACATAATTTTCTCAAATTAGGGTCATCTGGCTACGGCCGCAGTTGGTGTTTGATTCTCAGGAAGCGGCCATCGCGGCGTTTCGTACAACATACTCAGTTATGGCGCAACTGCTCCTCAGAGTTTCTCTTTCCACCTTCTGCCTCCAGATATTTCACTAGTTCTCCATTCTTGCTGGCCCCCTGGAGCTGCAGCGACCCCTTTCTCTAAACAAACTGAACCCATTTTTGACGTCTTCTATCAGAACCTATTGACCTTTCTATTCTCTGCTTCTCTCATTAAAGGTTTCCACCCTTGTACCCCTCGCCATGATAAGTAACTAAAAATCTTGGGTACTAAAATTCACCAAGCTGGCAGAGGATATAGAAAATCTTAGGATTTCTCTTTGGTTCTCCTCATAATCAAGCTCTCAATCGACCGAGAGTCCTTAAGGGCTTCCTCAGAATACCACTCTTTGAGTCATTCCTCGCTGCAAATTGCTCAGCCGCCTATTTCGTGGTTGATTTACCCCAAGCAGCTACTCCGTCACTTGTCCGCGTTTCCTCGTCGGTAGACGTATCACCGATCCCGTCGTTAGTTCCGACAACCTGATCGCTTACTTTGCTAGCCGCTAATTACCCGTTCATCAGAACTCAAACTCACGACCCCTGCCGCACATTTCACAACTCCACAACGGAGCAACAGCCAGTCTTTTGGCAGCGCGACCATCTCCCCGATGTATCAGACATTCTCTAAAACTCTCAAGGATTCTTTCGTACTGGGAAGGTCGGTATACAGTCCCAAGTCGTGAGACATGGCAGTCAAATCGCGAAATCCTTGTTCTCAATCTCTTTAATCACACAATGAACTCTGAAGTCGTTCTCTCCCAAGGGCAACAATCTGTTTTCCGCCCTAAATTCAAAAAGGATCTAAGCAAACAACTTCCAACTAGGAAGGGATCCACAACATCCCTTCTTTAATGTGAACCTCTGAACGTCCGGTCAAAGGCCAGTTGACCAGATTTGCCCCACCAATAAACGCCGTAGATGCCCACAAGCACAGATTCCTGTCTCAGTATCTGTTGGTGGTTTCAAGTTTCACTTCTTTGAGACCGTCAATGTAGTATATGGTGCCGGATACTCTATTGTTACGGCCTACCTGGATATCCAAAAGGCCTTTGTTCAGGTCCCTCGTGCATACCTGCCGAAGTAACTCAGTCCTATGGGAATCACTGGATCCCTATTGCGATGGTCCATCTCCTACCTTACTGATATGGAACAGATAATAATCTGGTGTCAAACAGCCATTTCCACCATTGATTACCAATGGAGTCATTAAAAGGAGCGTGCTAGGCCTCATCCGCTTCTCACTATATATCATCCACCTCTCTGCGCCTTGTCCTATGTTGAACCATTCCTTTTGGTGGACGACATGAGAGTCACTTACTCACTTCCTCCCTTCGATGAAGCTTTTGCCTTTCGCCAAATCCAACGAGACTTAGATTCTTTGACTCGCCGGTCAAATGCCTGAAGTCTAAGCCTCTCTTTTTCGAGTCCCATATGAACCGCTGTCGCCGCTCCTTCTCACATGATACGTACACAGTTAGCGGGAACCCTGCTACTCATCACCCAGACATCAAAGACATTGATCTCAGGTACTCTTGTACCTTCAGCTTATCCCACTACGTCCAGTTCCAGGTCTCTCCTGCGCATGAGCTGTGCTTTCTAATCTTGCGCTCCTTTTTTTCCGAGGGAAACTCGGGGTTTTTCCAGGTCTCCCTGCGCATGAGCTGTGCTTTCTAATCTTGCGCTCCTTTTTTTCCGAGGGAAACTCGGGGTTTTCAAGTTATGCGCGTGACCAGCTATTGCATTGTGCCTAGTTTTCTCCTTCCTCGATGCCCAAAATAACACCATTCATCAAAAAATTATTCCCACAGTCCAGCCCGCTCCCCTACCGATCCCGCTGCATAATCTTTGGCCTTGAGCCCATATGGCTCAGAAGGTTAAGCCTAAATCCAACTCTCCCACGACAGCCAAATACGAACACACTTTGTAACTGGCCCCAGGCGCCTCCAGAATGCGCTTATTCTGATCTTCCAAACCTTTCGTAGGGATCCAACCATTTTGGTGGACCTGCTGTCTGTGCTCTTCACAAGGTCTGTAATTTCCTCTACAGTCCTCGTTCCAGCTCGTGTTTTTCTGGTTCTGGTCGATAGACAGAATGGACAGTTTCGGCCATCTTTTTTAGGAATGAAATTTTGGCGGAATCACCGCTTAGTAGCTGGACGAAACATATATGATTTTGTAGACGCTAACTAGAAAATTTTTGGAGTGGCTGTATGACTGCAGATGTCGGTCGTTAGTTGGTCGTGTTTGAATTTCCAGATGGATATTTAGGTCCTCAGCTATGGGCAGGCGGTCGACTCTTTAGGGAAGCAGATTAAAGTACAGTAATGAAAAGCATAACAACTGTGTATGCGGTGACTCATTTTGTGAAATACCGCTGGACATTCTTCAGAGCATTCCTATGGCAATTCGGCTGGGGAGGCTGGAGAAGCCGACTATGTTCACAGAGGTATGCATAAACTAGGAACAATATATATATATTTGCTGCGTCTATCCGTAGGTAATGGTGCAAGATTGAAGAAACTGGCACCTTCAGTCGCCCTTTTGGGAACGCGGACACATCAGCGAGGTAATAGGAATTCTATGGTTTTGTGGTGGGTCCGGATCTGGGGGTCATGATAAGGCTAAGACAGATTTAAAACCGCACACCATAAACGAGAAATTCGGTTGAGTCTCCCGTGAAAACCAAATTGATTTGCAAATGGGTATTTCTCGAAAACAGTGCAATTTGGTTTCAAGTAGATCATAAGGTTGACGGAAACTCGGGGACTGCGCCTACCTGATGAGCCCCAAGAAGGGTGAGACAGGTCGTGGGCTGTCGAAGAGTTTTCAGCAAACTTGTGAGTAGTTTCCTTGATGGAAATAAAACCGCACATGTTTGTTAAGGAATGCGTAAAAGGTGACCGGCCTTGAACCAGTGGTAGCCAGAGTTAGCTGCAGTTTCTGGAGTTCTCTAAATATCCCTAAACAACACGTTCAGGTCTTCAGCAACGAGCAGGACAGTTAGGAATTAGAGAAAGATAGATAACAATCATAATAATGCTGTTTAATCCCAACTAGTGCGTGGCACAC